TAAATTTCATTAACTTTATATTTATCTTCTTGGCTAAAATATAAAGGAAAAATCTAAATTTAATAAGGTTATCTCAATCAAATAACTGTTTATTTATCATTAATACAGAAATATAGTTTTACCAGAATAAATTATTAATTAAACAACTTTTAACGACATTATTAAAATTATTTTATGTCACAACAGCAATCTATCCAAAAATCAGCCACTCAATCAACTCTTCGAACTTTTACAGATTATGGAGGGTAGTAACGATTAGTCAATTATGCAAATTTGTAAAGAAATCTCTCTCCTCAGGCTGAATTATGTCTTGCAAAGGATTACAATTCCAAAATTAATAAATATGTGTATGTCTTATAAAATATTGTAGAAAACAAGAAAAGACTGCATGTACATTACCCTCTGAGTGTGATAAAAAAACCATTGACATGTGTAAAGAAAATTTAAATAAAATTGCAACTCTTTAAAAAAACAATCCCACACTCAAACCCAGTGACCCCATAACTTAAGAAAGCAAGCCCTTAAATGAAAACAAGAGTCACATAATCAAAACTCCCTTGAGTGATGTAGATAACTTATGGAATTTCCATAATAACCCTGTAGCTCCAAGATAAAATCCAAATTCTAAGGTTAATTACTAAACATAGTAACCTGATTGGAAGCCTAGTTAAAAATCAATCCAACCTGCTCCTGCAAAAACAAAGGATCTTTTTGAAAAAAGGGAACTCAAAGTTGCTGAGTTAAAACCTACAGATAGAAATCCAATTTTAGAGGATAATTAAGGAAAGCAATATGGAAAGCATGAGTCTTATGGAAAATCAGATCATTTAGAATGCAAAAAATTACTTTCAAATGGCTATGGTTAAGAGCTGAAATACAAAGAGGAGGTAATAATAATTTATTTATTTTTAGAAAAATATGGCTTAGAAACCAAATTCATTTCAATAATCTGAAAGAACGTTCAATTATTCTTCTGTAAATTAAGGTGATTATAGAAAGAAACCATCAGAATTTGAAAATAGAAACACATTTTTTACTAGAAGATGAATAGAATTATGTATAACTATTATAAATATCATATTATAATTCATTATTCATCAAAGAGACTAATTAGCTTTTTTTATTGTTGATCTATTATATCAATTTTGAAGATATCATTCAGAAGATCTTTGTAGCACTTTAAGATCACGATTAAATCAGCATCTATCGCTTGAAGAGAGGATGAAAGTGATTAAATCCTAACTAAATTTTCATTCTGCATTTATAAGCAATGCTCGATTTTATTTTAAATCTCTATATTTTAAGATTCTTGAGTCTCTTTTAATTTATGCATGGTATTATTGATCTCGCTATATAGTTGGAAGCAATTACGTGATTTCTTTCGATTACTAATGTAAATGTGAAATCAAAGCCTTCTAACTCTCAGTAATTTCAATATATTGTTATTGTAAATTGTTGGCACTAAATGACATAAACTTTTCATTAAGGGCCTTGATAGTCTTTTCTAACTTTTGATTGTTGGTATTATATTGATCCTAGAATTCTCTGGTCAATTTAACATAATTATCCTCATTTGTTCTGAGTCTTTTTTCTAAGGCTGCTATCTTATTATTGTCGGACACCGCCTACTATGAAATGTTGGGAATGATGACTAATTAAGAATCTCAATTAGAATTTACCCGAATTTTATTTAGATGCTGACCTCCGACCTTGAGGACTTTTCATTTTATCTTAGGCACTCATAATACTGACATTATCATTTTAAACGAAGGAGACTTAACTTTAATTGCGAAGTAGTCCACTTGTGTCATTATTTGAATCGTCTTTTTTTGAATAACTTTTATTTCTGTTTGGACTATTTGGACTAGCCTAAATATATTGTAATTTCTATAGATGAGTATTGAGTTCGGTTAGATTGTCTCTATTATCAAGTCTTTCCTAAAATTCTGTCAGTTTTGCTTCAATTGATATGATGATTTGTTTGAAGATGAGTCCACTTACATTGTCATCATCTTTGAGAGAGTTAGCCAATTCAACTATTTCAATCAAACAATTCTATTGAACTTTATTTTCTATAGGAACAGGCTAGATTATGAGTTATTTTGATGCCTCAAACCCATTTGACTCATTGGTAATCTCTTTCTTTGAATTGGATGATTAATTAGTAAGACTGGCTTTTGGTTTTGGAGCAGACTTTCCAGGTTTCCTAGCTGATTGAATCTATTATTTCATTTTGATTATTGCTTTATAATATAATAATTATTTATAATTAGCCAACCATTCTATGAAACCACTTATAAATATATATTCAAAATTAATCTTCTGTTATTTCATCTACTTCTTTAATTTAAAGGTCTCCGAACATATTTTTCATAGAATTGAAAGGCTTCTTAGGAGCTACTTATTAATCCTATTGAGGAGCATATCTGGATTAAGTCAAAGAACCATCATAAGGCAAAACATCAATACTTTTATCTAGATGAGCACCTAATTAAGTAAGGAATTTATTGGTATTGTTATTATTATTCGAGTTATTTTATTCATCCTTCATTTCGATACTACTTTAGATTGTACAAAAATTATCAAGTTATTCTTAATGAGACAATTTATCTAAATAATTATGATTCAATTACTTGATGAGCCACTAAATTAAAATCCAAAACTTTTATCTAGCAATTCTTATTTAGATCCTAATTTACTCATGAGTGCTGTGCTACTGCTAATTGAATTCATCAATTAAATAAAGCCACAATTACCTCCATGCTTCTAAATGATATGAACATCAGTAAAGCTGTTGAGTAATTCATTTATCATAATTTCATCCTCCTTATTATCATTTTAACTACTTTACAGTTTTGAAATAACATTTCCCCATTATTAGTCATCTAACCTTAAACTAGACTGCAATGATCTGCATTTACAACAGCCATCTTAAGCTGTATTCAATTTATTCAAAAATGCCATCACATCCTAAATAGTGCAAATTTCGAAAAAAGGATGTCTCAAAGCTGCTTCAACAGAAATTCTCTCGTTTTTATTTGGATTCAACATTGAAATAATTAAATTGCTTAAGGGTTGTTCAAGTGTATTTAACTATTCTTAAAATGTCCACTAATTTGAGTTTGCCAGCAACTCAATAAAATCATGTAATTCATTTGAGTGCAACGGCAATTTTTAGAAAATGCACTAGTAAGTAATCACTCCTATTGCCCAAACATCAACCTCTTTTGAATAACTGGCTTTATGATATATTTCTGGAGCACAATAAAAAATATTTCCTGTTTTTGTTAGCATTTCAATTTCCTATCCTTTTGATAAAAACCTTCTTGATACTCCAAAATCAACTATTTTTACATTCGGAGGCTAACTATTCTCTTCTAAATTGACCAAAATGTTGTCTGGCTTTAAATCTCTATGGCATATTCCTTTAGAATGAGCATGTTGGATGCCCAAAAGGAGTTGCTTAATCACAACCTTTAATTCTTCTGAAGTGAGAGATCGTTTTTTAATTATACTTTCTAAACTTGGAAACTTACAATACTCCATAACTAAATATGAAGTTTCCATCTTTTCATTGATATAAAGTTCTATGTCTTGGGCAATGTTTGGATGTCTAAGACACCTCGTATTGTTAAATGTTCTTCTCACATTGTTCTGAATTTCTTGATCCCCAGATCTTACTATTTTTACAGCATAGATATCTTCTGAGTTTTTCTTCTTTGCTGTCTTTACGACTGCGTGTGCTCCTTGCCCTTGAAAAATATGGCTAAATCTTATACCTAAAGTGAAAAGACATTAGTAATTGTCTTCAAATTTCTTACATTCTTCTGGTTCATTGAGCTCAATGTCAGGAACGTCGTCACTAAATTGAATCTAAGCTTTTAATCTATTCGCCATTAAAATAATTAACTTAAATGCTCACAAAAGTAAAGAGTAATGCCATTACAGTACATCCATTCGTAAATTGTAAATCAATGACCCCAAACACCAATGAAAGACCAAAGACAGATAGAATTAAGCCAAAATATCTTATTTCTGATAAAACAGCAGATACATTAACTTCATCAATCACCACATTGTTTCATCCCCCAATGCCTGAAACAAAGAATTTGGGTGTCACTCGACCAGCTACTGACAAATATTTCTACAAATTTCTCAGTCCACATAGAAGATTTTCAGAAAAAAAAAATGGGAATAAAAATACATCTCCTTAAAATGATATTTGTACTCCATTTAAAGTCTCTAGTGATATGGAATCTTTTCGAAATTCAGTCTAAAACATTGACAATGATTAATTCTCAATGTCCCAATCAGGAACTTCAAATAAAGATCACTAAAATTATCTTAAAAAGGTGTTTTGTAACTCTCACTAGAAACCAAAATCACTAAATATCAGACAACAAGAAAAGATTGAATCCAATAAACATTATGATATTCCAGATGAGGAATTGGTTGACCTAAATTAGGAATAAGACCATTTAGAATCTCTTGAGAATCAAGGCAATTTCATTTAGAATCACATTTAAGAAGATCCTGAATAAATCACTTTTTAATTTTAGAACCCAATAGGAACTCCAAAAATGCCTTAAGAACATGATTAACAACAAGATCAAGGCATTTTCGAAATACAAAAGTTTGATTCTATCTAAACAATTGAATGTTACGTCAAATAATTTAGAGTAAAAATCAAAAAGACTATAATATTAAATTAAACTTAAAATTAGAAACCAGAAATTAAACAAAACTAAATTTCTGAAATTTTATCAAATATTCAAACAGAAATGATTCAACCAAATAATTACCTTTAACAATAATAAGAATTGGAGGACACGGTGTTTAATTAAGCAAAGAGTGAAATACTAAACCCATTGAAAATTGAACAAAAAGTCTCAACTCTTAATACCAAGAAGGGGAGGTTCTAAATGTTATTTTTATTTCATTTTCTGATTGTGATTTTATTAATCATATTTTATACTCTAATAGTATGATAATAATTAACTTCAAGTTTAAGTGGTTTATTAATCATTGCCCCAATTTTTTAAACTATGATTAGGGTAGGTTGAATATTGAAGATCAAACTCACTCACTTTTTTGAATATACCATTCTTACCTACAATGCTTTTCATAATTACCTTAATGAATATTCATCATTCCTTTAAAAAGATTTGTGTAGGCACCAACCATTACACATACATCTCCTGGAGATATGACTGATTCATCCATATCATGCACATTCAAAAATGCACTCCCAGTCTCATCTGCAATCCAATATTTTGTGATTTTCTTATAAGTCTTTGTGATTTGAGTTTCGACTTTTTTTAATACAATGAACCTGATAATATCGAAGAATTTACTTACTTGAATTCTAAGTTCTTTTAGGTAGGGTACATACTCTTGATTTGATTTTCGAATTTTTGCTTAAAGAGAATGGAATTGAGTTATTCGAACACTTATTAATTAATCATTTAATTATGATATATATTATATTAGGAATACTTGCTCTAATCTATTTTATCACTCAACCACTCATTGTGGTTATCTATTTCAAAATAAAGTACGGTAAAAGGGTGATCATTCAATATGCCCCTATGTTGGGACTACTACGTACTCTAAGTCAATCCAGAGCAATCAATGGAGATGCATTTCAAGCCTTATCTGTATTGATAAAAAATAATCGATAAGCAGACATTCTAGTTACTAATTTATTATTTCGACCATTAATCGTATTCTTAAAACCAAATTACTACAAAATATTCATGCAATAACATGAAGCATATACCAAATTCCCCATGATAGTCGACAAGAGATTAGTATCAAAGGGAATGCTTATGGAAGGGGGAGCAAAGTGGAAATAACAAAGAAAGCTTTTAGGAGCTCATTTTGAATACAACAAGCTCATCAATCTCATACCAATGATAAATGATGTGGCTGAAAAGAAATTGTCTGGTCTCCCAAACTCAATATTTCCAGCTATGAACTTAGCATCTTCAATCACAGGTGAAGTCGTTCTTAGGGCCTTTTTTGGAGAGGATATTGCCAAGTTAAGTCTTAATGGACAAGATCCTTCATTATGTGTCACTCAATTAATCACTAGATTTGGATAATTAATAACTGAATCCCGCTTCTTTCAAATAAAGAGAGCTTTACTTGAAGAAAAAGTATTCAGTCTATTTCCCAGAAAAGTAGAAAAAGATCTATTCGAACTTAATACCATTATGCTTGATCACATGAAAAAGGCAATTTAAGGCAGAATGGAAAAGTTAAAAAATTGTAAAGACTTTGTACATCAGGATTATCTGGATATATATTTAGATGCATATCTAAACAAAAATGATTAAATGGATCCTCCTATCACAGAAGATGAAATTTTATAATAATCCATAACACTTTATTTTGCAGGAACTGAAACTACAGCTAATTTAGTAACAACAGCTTGTTATTTCTTGGCTGAAAATCCACATCTTTAATAAGAAATTTATTAAGAAATTCTTGAGGTCCTGAATGGAGAATCAATAGTAACTGCTAAACATCTATAAAATTTATAAAAAGTTACAGGATTTTTAATGGAATGCCTTCGATTAAAACCTGTGGCTCCTATGTTGATATCCAAGAAAGCTTTATAGGATGTATACATTCTGGATATATTCATTAAAAAAGGTATATATATATTATTATTAATGAATAGGATGGTATGTCAATTATATGGTATTGTCTAATGCATAAAACTAGAACTACTTTCCAAATCCAAAATAAATAGATATTACAAGGTGGAAATCTGATGGAACTTTAAAGGATTCAACCATTGATCCCTTTGCTTTTGTACCCTTTTCAGCTGGAGGCAGGAATTGTATAGGTTAATATCTTGCGTTGATTGAGAGTAAAATTGTTATTTCTAAAATCCTGATGAAATATAGGTTGAAATTAAATGAAAAACTCATAAAAACAGAATGGATAGCTAAAATCACTTATGGCTTATCAAATCAAGATTACATAACATGGGAGGCAAGATGATTAGTTTGTTTAATATTTTAATGTTTAAATTTCAATTTTTTTTCAATACTCCTTATAAGGTACAATACAAAACCTTAGAGTAATTGTAAATTCCAAAATAATTCATTTTAATTAATTATTAATAAAAAGAGAATTTTCTAAAACTATTAATGCAGACTATTAAACATCTTACTGTCTTTCATAGAATTAGACTAAGTCACAATGCTTCCACTATCTTTCACTCAAGATTCTCATGTTTATAGCAGCTATTTCGTAGTTCTCTAGAAAATTACTCAACTATTTTTTGAAATATAAAATGCTATATTTTAATCAGTTATAGAAATTTCATTTTTCTAAACCATTTCTGAATACCATATGTATTTTAATGATAAAAGAAAAGGATAAAGTTTATGAAATAAGCCTCTCAAATAATATCATTTTAAATGTTCAAGATATCAGAATAATTAATATATATATTTTTTAACTAGATTTAAAGTACCTTTATGATAAACTAGTTTAATCAGAAAAATGGATATTATAGAACACAAATTTTAAATCTTTCCGTAAAACGCATATAGCTATTAACTTAAGATAAATAGTTGCTGATAAAAAATTGAAAGAAAAATATGATGGAAATCTACTTTTAAAAGAGTGATAAATATTGTTGAAAAATTGGAGAAATACAATGAGATTGTGAGTACTTGTCAAATATTGATAGAAAAATATCGGAAATTAAATGAATAGGCTTCACTAGAGGAAAGAATGAAATTAATTTTTAATAAATTTTAGACTATTTTTAGAATTTACCCATTGTGATTCTAATTTATATGTTTCATCATCGAGCACTTAAAAAAGTACGAAAGTACGAATGTAAATAAACTATTTATCAAATTCAGATAAGTATTAATCAAATATACACGTTAAAGAAATAAATAATATAAAAAGGATTTTACACTAATATCTCCTTAATTGTAAGTTGAAATGGAAGTCGAAAATATTTTTTTGGAATGTTAATTTAAAATAAATATAAATATTACACACTAAATAATTATTATTAATTAAAGATTAGAGGAAAATATCATTATATTTAAAATACATATAAAATGCTTCAAGAATTTAATTACTCTGAATCAGATTCAAACTCTAAGAAGAAAAGAGGTAGAAGCTGCAATGATCGTCAAGGTAAGATTTAAAAGATTAAGATAGCTTCGAGTTAGGAGAAGTTTGAGTTTGAATAATAATATTAGTTGTTTTAACAATTTTATGAAAGTAGCCAGAACGTTCCAATAGACTTTTTGTATCTCAAAGAATATTTTAATGTTGGTTTTACTGATTGTCCGACTGATGTTGAAATTTTCAAGATTCAAAAGAAATTACACAGCCGACGTTTCTCTCAAAGTCAAAAAAAAAGTTGGAGTTTTGATGAAAAAAAAGTCTTAGTATGGGTAATTGGAAAGTATTGTTCATTGAAATAGAAAAATTGCAGATTCTTAAATAGTGATGATTTTAACGAAATTTCATAATATTTATTTAGAAGAAATGTCGAGAACATCAAGTAAAAATGGATATCAATGCTTAAAACATCCTTAATTACATAGCCATTCACATAAGAAGAGGATTCGCTTTTATCAATACATTATGATAAATTTAAAAATGATGAAAATAGATGGAAACTTATTGCTTAAGAAATGAACAAAGTGAATTAAACCTATAGAACAAGCAAGTAATTAAGAGAAAGATGGATCAATTATTTGGATCCATCATTAATAAAAATAAAGGATCCTTGGACTGACAGAGAGGATTTGGAATTGATATATTAGATTTAGTAAAAAGGAAAGAAATGGACAGACATAGCAAGACAATTGAAAAGAAATGAAAATTAAGTGAAGAATAGATATAATTGCTTATTAAAAAGGGATGAAGTAGATGATGATTTAAATAAATTAATTGACAAAATATTATGGAGAATAAGCAAATAACCAATTGATGAAATCAAAAATAGCAGTGAAAAGTAGAACAATTAAAATAACCACAATCAAAGTTTATTATTAGCTGTAGGAAACATTGATTTGATTACACAAGAGGAAACCTATGAATTGACTCCTTGCATGGTTAATCTAAAGACTAATCAAATCTATTTTCCTCCAAATTATTTGTTATAAGAAATCCTTTAATATTAGTAATTAGATGTAAGGGATGAATTTGAGAAAATTAAAAGAGAAATGGAGAAATTTGAACCTCCTTAATTTAGAGTTGCTTCACTGTCTGTTATTAGCGAAGAGTATCAACTCCCTTAAATTTTAAATAATCAACAACATTTTATATAGTCATTTTCTGATATGCCCAATTTTGAATCCTAAAATTAGCCTCCCTCCACTGATATAAAATCATATTTATCTCCCTTTTTTTCACTTATGAATTTACAGTAAAAGTACTTTAGACATCGGACTGATTTAACACTGCCAAAGAAACGGAATTCTTTACCTTGGAAATCTTTACCTTAGTTATTAATTTGTTGAATGTTTGAATTCGTATGTTTTACCAAAACTTACTAATTCAAGATATTAATCATATAAATTTATATTTGAAATCATTAGATATATTAATTTAATATGTTTTCTTCATTAATAAACATTTTAGTTTTCTCTTCATTTACTTCAATTATTTTTCTAGCCTGCTCTCGAAATTATTTTTTCTTGAACTAAACAAATTTGATATTTTCCCTATACTGTTTCATTAAGGTTATTTTGAATTCTTAACTATCTTCAAATAAGCGTTTTAATCTTTTGATTTGTTGCAATTGTTGAGTTAACTATTTATTATCCTCTCTAATTATTAAGGCTTTGATGGACATTTCATATTGTTATTATTATTTTTCGGATAGCAATAAAATTAGAGCCTACTTAAGCACACTATTAATCAGTGAATAGCAGTTGGCTAAATCTCTTTTTTTACTTTCTTTGATGGTTTGCTATGAGATGAAAGAAGAATATTTTTCTAATTCCTTCACCAATAATTAATAGTCTAATGTTTTTAATTTTTGTAATTGAGTAAAATATTGCGATTAGATTTTTTCATTGAGGAAGGGTATCACTTTTTGATAATTTACGCTGAAATTATCTTTTAATACTTCTTAAATTAGGGATGAAAGATTTTTTAGTTCTTCAATTACCTTCAATGAGGCAGTGCTATTCTTTTACAGATTCTATTCCAACTTTTCCAATTATTCAGTGTTCTTATCAATATTGGCAGATATCTGGTTAATTTTGTCATTATAATTTTTTCTTGTTTTTTTTAAAACATACTCAATGTTAGCATCATTAAAAATCAATAGTTTCTCTTGCTAGTCATATAAATCATCTATCTAATAATGAAAATATCTGATACTCGTTCTAATATGGATAAAAATTTCTTGAATATTTCTTCATGCTATTCTGTACGTTCATGAACTTTATTCAAAAAGGATGTTGCTGTTTGTTAAACATTAATATAGTTTTTGAAAATATTTAACGTAGTACCATAAAATGTAGTTTGCTCTGCTATGGCCACAAAAAACGATATAAAAATAATAATCATAATATTAAAATTCAAGATCTGCTCAACATCCAAAGTTTTCATATGTACATCATGCAATAACCCAACAAATTCACTTATTAGGTGAAAGGACGATTAGCTCAAAGTCATAACTAAAGAAAATATAAATTTAATTTAATTACTTCTATTGAATACAATAACCTTTCTACAAAGCTATTTCAAAAAAGAATGTGAATGTTATGATGATGAAAAAGCTATGTATTATTAAGAAACTCAAAGTATTGTTAATTGTTTTGATTATTGAATTTATTCTTCTCAAAATAGATTAATTTTATCATAATTAGTGAATTATATAGCTGATAGATCTCTTTTTAATATTTTAGTTTTGTTATTTAAACAAATAGGTGGAACTTAATTAATTTTGAATCCAATTGTTAAGTAAATGTTGGGTATTATAGGACTTCAGAATAAAGTGAAATCGATAAGATTTTATAATTATTAGTAGCACAAATGGTTAATGAAGAAAAATTCCACTTACAATAAGATAAAATTCATTGAGTTTTATTTTTCGGAATTTTAGTTCATAAATTTATTATTATAATTCTCTATTGTTTTACATTTCTTTTTTTGATCTAAGTCATTCAATTTATGCCATTTACGTATTTTTATTTGAGTAAATTAATTGAACATCTCAGATATGTACAATAAGGAGAAGGATAGAGTTTGATAAATATTTGGAAATAAAATTGTAAGGTATATTATGAGTTACTTCGGTTTAGGAGGATTAATGGGATCTAAATAGAGTTTTTAGTTTGAATGGAAAAGATAGTGAATTAATGAGACAAGGAGATATTTGAGAATTAAGTTAGAATTTATTGGATTAAATGCGTAATTAATAATTAACTATGATATAAATGTATTATTTATTTCATGATTGATAATATTCCTGTAATATTTTGCTCTAGTCTTTCTTTGATTGGACAGCTGCTTATAGTGTTATTGTTTATGTACTCTTAAAAATTAAGGTAAGGATTGATTCCTAGAATCATTCTATATCTGACATTTAGTGGAATAATTTAAGTATTGAATTTATCAATTAGACTATTGGCATTTTATGTTCGAGTTTTGAGAATCCAAAATGTACTGTTTTTGCCACTTTTCGATTGTACGGAGGGTTGAGTTCTCTAATATGGAGTTCAATTCTGATTTATTCAATAAAGTATTAAAGAAATATTGAAGAAGATAATTGTTTATGGTACTCAGTTAGGATAGTAAGTTCAAAGATACGAGATAGATATTTGATTAATTGTGTTCTCAGGAAAATAAGTTTTTGGTGTGTTCGTATGGAATTCCCTTGATATTAATGATATATCCGATAATAACAGCAATCGTTCTGACTGAGAGAAATACCTAATACTGTCTGTACTACCATTAGAAGGAAGATTCTTCCAACTTGAAGGCACAATTAGACCTCCAAAAGTTACTGTTTTGGATTATTCCTATTTTTCTGTATTTAGGCTATAGTTTTACAATAATAAAATAAATTAAGATGCTCTTGGCTGAGGATGACGATAAAAAAGAGTTATATGGAGAGGTTAAGAAATTGATAAAGCAAATATTCCTGTTTCCAACAATTACTTTTATTTGCACTTTTAGTTTTACAATAGAAGACATCCAATCTCTATTTTCACATAGAGTAATTTATTTCATTAAAATAAGGTAGGATCGATCTAAACGACAATATCATTTGTATTCCTGAGTTTTTGGGGTTTTTTTAATTGCGTAGCATATCTGAGTCAAGAGCCTGTAAAATAGCAAATACTGGAGTGGTTGAGAATGAACCAGCAGAACCAATAATGTACAATTAAATCATATATTTAGAGAGTTCCAGATAGCTGAGTAGCTCCTCGTAGATGATGAACAAGGAAACACAAGATTGAGTATTGGAAGCCAATGTTATTATTACAATGAGTCCCGAGAAAAGAGTTGTGATAGATCGGTACAAATGACAGAGCCTCTATGAGAATTTTGTATTATATAATTGTATATTTGTATGTCTGTATTCACCAGAACTAATAAATATTATTAACACTTATAATTTATGTAAAGTCACAAATCTGAGAGATCTTACCAAGACTTTCTTTCAGCAAATGAGTCAGACTTTTTAAACACTTATTTTTTGTAATTGGTTAGTGACACTATCCCTCAGTATGTTTGTTAATCGGAAGTGTCCATGAGACATTAAATGGGACTCAAAATAGATATCCAACAACTATTGCAATAGAAGCGAAGTCTGCATATAAAACCAAATAGATACATGTTTTCACTTTGTGATTTCAAATTAGAAGGTGCCATGCAATTATTAAGAAATCAAATTTAGAAATATGATTTCCAAGAAAACGAGGAGTATTTTAATCTAATTGATCTAGGAAGAAGTCTTCATAAACAAGGAGAAAACTTTATTAATCTCTTATCACCTCTTCCTTTTCAGATGATATTCCAATTTGCCAAATTAATTCCTGGGTCGTTTTGAATGATATTAAATTGGAAGTGAAGAAAGGAGACATCCTATTGTTCATCGTCAAAATCAAGGCTTCTTCCTACACTCTAAATAGATTATAGACTCTAATACAAAATGAAGTTCAATACACCAAAGTACAATTTAATTAAATAAAAAAAGTCCAAATTAAGTGATTACATTACTAAATTTAAGCCCAACATTTATCCAATACTAATATTGAATGCAGATATTAATTTCCCTTATCAAAAACTGAATTGCTAAGCTTATTACATTGGCAAGTAGAATCTAATGTATCATTTCTTCCAACAGTTGAGAATACAAGATGCCGAGGCTATAACAGAGGATGTATTCAATTAATCAACTAGTTTAGTTAATTTCAAAATACAATATTAATAGAATGAGTCAGGCCAGACTGCTAATTTAGAAGGAAGCCTTGGAGTATAAGAAACTCGGAAAAAATATTGATATACTTAAATTAACTACTTTCGGAGTGGCAATAGCTTTGGGGTTAATGTACTTTTTCAAGAAAAAAATTATTAAATGAGTTTATTTATAAAATGAATGAAAAAGACACTCTAAGTTTGTTGCATACCAAAAGAGAAAGGATGGCTTAGCTTCATTCTCAATAAAGTATCTTTTCACTTTCTAACTGAAGTACGTAATAAGATTTTCGAGGTGAAAAGAAAGCAGTTCGTAAGATCAAGAAGCGTACAAGAGATATCAAAAATGTTATAAGACTCCTAATTTTTGAATGAAGGCTTTACATCTCTATTGAATTTGTTAGAGGAAGATCAGGATGAAATCAATTTCGCATATCTGTTGTTTTATTGGGGTATTTTGGATGATTTGGTTGAAGTGTTGCACAATTATATGAATTTGACAGAGTAATAGTTGGTATGACCATTAAATATACGTATAGATAGATTTAACGAAAATGATTGCTTTTATAGTGGAGAGCAAGGATGCTAGTCATTATTTCATTAATACTAAAGCACCTCAAATATTAGAAATTTTGTTGGCCAATCATAATAATTTACTCATAATTGAGCATGTATTTATCTATATATATAATTAAGTGTATTTTAATAATAGGTAACCTTGAGAAATACGAGATAAACAATTATTTTTTGACAACCGTCGTTCCCAGACTCAAAAACTATTTATTCAATTTAAATCCTCTTCCTGTATAATGTTTGTTGCATTTCAGTTGGATGATCAAAAGTCGTAATGTTCCAAATCAAGATGAGATCTAGAAGGAATTAATACTACTCCAAAATGAAGAGATTTTATATGAAGCCATTCAGCATTTAGAAATTTTGAATATTGATGCAAATCTAATGGGGTATTTAATAATGAATGTGGATTTGATAAATGATGTTTAATAAATGCAACCTAAAATGTTACTCAATTTGATTTGTGAAAATCTGAATAAGGAGAATGCAATAAAAGAGATTACAAATCTACTTAATAAATGTATGCAAATGGGCAAACTCATGATTCTACAGAGTGCCTTCAAGCTTGCTTAAAATTATATGCTTTAGTCAGGTATGCCTTATTTCAATGAGATTGTGGAAAAGAAGGTTACTCAATTATTGATTATATTTGACCAAGATAGAATGAAAAATCAAGGGCTTCTAAGAGCAATGATGTAATATTTAGAAACATTTCACATCTTGTATCCAGAGAGTAGGTTCTCAATAGAATTTTACACTCGATTGCTGGACACTATACAAGCAAGTCATTTGAGATTGTTGTCTATAGTGATGACTAGAAATTTGGAGTTCATCCAAAATATTGCCAATATTGGAGTGCATAAAAGGAGATTGCAGGAACTAGCCAATAAGAGTAATGAAGCCAAAGAATTATTAAAAAAAATATATTTGTGATAATTAACTAATGATCTTAAAAATTAGATAACTCTTTTCTACGATAGCAGAGCCAGTCTCAGGAGGCAGATAATGGTTGAAGTTCTTTCAAAATTCCACTGGCATACAGATAAACATTGAAAGGAGTTTGAAAAACGAAGCTGTATTCATTTTTCTATATCATAGTCTGAAAATCTCAATTATTATGTTCGCTAAAATTATAAGACTTTTAACTAAGAATAGTTGTTTCAAGCGTATATTAAAAAGGATTTACAGTTCGAAATTTAAAAATAAGTGTAAATGGAGGTCTTAGAGAGATTTGTAGCTGATTAAATGAATTTTAGTGAAAATATGCTAATTACATATTTGAACAAAGAAGCTTAATTGTTGCCAGCCTATTATTCAGTAATAGCATAAAACCTGCTTTTAAATGGCCTCAAAATCTTTGATTAACTAAATATCTATTAATAGATAGAATACATGAGACTATCCTTATAGTCAGGTCTGTTGCATCCAGATATACTTTAGAAATTCTTTCAAAATCTAAAAATAGATGATCAATTCATAGATTCTTTATCATTACTTTAATTCAGAAACATAATGACCTTGTTTGAATATTGTGCAATTTCACCCTATGAATTGGGATTATAAGCAGGGTTCATAGATTACTTATTTAATAAATACATATAAAAATTAAGCAATTTTGAACTTGTGGCATCAGAAATAATGAAATATGAATTTTCTTAACTCATGATAAATAATCATTTAAGTTTTTTGAGTGAAGAATAATACTCCGAGATTAAGATTGCTTATGCTAAGATGTAAATAATGTAATCTATATTTAATAAGTCTTGAGAAGATGTTTAACAAGAATTATAATTTTATTGTACATCGAAATTTGAACAGTAAGGATGTTGCTAAGAAATTGTTATGGGTTTATTCCCCTGACGATTTCAAATTAATCCAAAAGCCTCTTAATCATATAATTACAAATACTATATATTAAGGAGAATTCAAGGCCGATCATGTGATATATGCATTGCCATGTAATTATAAATCATATCAATTATTAGTATATTTTAAATACTTCTCCCCATAATTATACTACATATCATTAAAGCAATGCCAAAAATCAAGTTCCATCTACAAAACCTCAAAGAATGATATAAAATAAATCATGTATTTATTGAATAGCAATTCTCTAAAAGGGTTTCGATCAATAATGAGTGATCAAACTATGCTTGACGATGCTGATAATTTTATCAGGAATACACTCATAAATTACCTCACAAATGTTAAAGACGAGGAGTTGTTGATTTTTGAAGATGCCTTAAATCCAAATATGGAATAAGAAGCAGATTTTGAATTCAATGATGCTGAATATTCAGAAATCCTACCATACTATTAAAATAATAATAAAAATTTAGAAACCTAAAATCACATTAACTAAAGATAATTCATAACTAATTTAACCCAGAAATTCAATGTATTATAAATTACTTTGCATAAAAATGGATTCTAAAGAATATCTTATTCCAAAACGAATAAGAGGGTTTCAATTTTAGAACCCATGCTCAATTACATAGAAACTTTGTATTACACATCTATTTTAGTACCTGACTTCTAGCCATAGACAAAAGTTTTTAAAACACCACAAATTCTTAAATTAATCAATAATCTCATTTATCTACCTAATCTATTGGAACATCTAGTTTAGGTGAACCAAATTTGGCCTAATTTATTCAATGATGAATTAAAATCAATTATAAATACTAATAAAACAAAGATAGATGAAATCTATAATACTTGTTAAGACAGTCAAGAATTCATTGACAAAGTTGAATAACAAATTAAGAAGAGTGAGCTGGAGAAATCTAGAAAGTAACAATATAGAAACAGAACATATCAAGGATTTTTGTAGATATTCAATTTTGTTCGTCCCAAACCTCACATTAAGCTGTCTCCCATTTTGAAAAACCCATTTGAAGAGTTTACAATTGAGGAAACCTATTCAAATCTAGAAAGGAATTTGTATTGGAAACTGTCTCAAAGAAGTGAAAATGTGATTTAGCATACTCATTTTAAGGAATTAGTTTGGTAAGCACTCAAACTTGATAAAAATTAATGGATGATGAATTATAGTGATTTCCCTCATCTTGCTGATTTTGCTTGTCCAAAGCAGAAGGTGGTAGTGTTTTTAGAGGAGTACCCTCGTTTAATTAGAGGATTGCATAAAGTTTACACAGCAGACACAGAAAGGGCAGCTGAATATTTCTCTAGACTTGGATATCAAGTTGTGTTTATAGATTATAACGTGTATCATCCAGACACTGAGTAGTTATTGAACATATTGAAATAAAAGTTTGTATTTCGTTATAATTGATTTAAATAATATTATGAACGAAATCACAATCCCATGCTCCAATTGTAAGCAACCAATAGCAGAATCTAAACATATGCTCCATGAAACATATTGTTTGCGTAATAATATTAAGTGTCTAAAATGTGGTTAATTTTATGATAAAAATGATCCAGAGAGTCATGAGGAGGAATACCACAAAAAAGAAAAATGCTAATATTGTTCTCTAGAATTTGAAGGTCACTTTCAATATTATATCATTAGATTTGAAAAAGCATAAATGCTTGAAGAAACCAAAGTAATGCTTACATTGCGATCTCTATTTTCAAACTGATTAATTATATTAGCATGAGAATCAATGTGGTAGTAGAACACAAAAATGTGATATTTGCAATAATTATGTAATGATACGAGAGTACGAAAGTCATGTGATGACTTGCAAACCAAAACCAAAAGTTGAACCTCCTTAAGTGTAAAATAAGCCCAGTACTTAGGAAATTTTCGATAAACCCAATTATAATAAGCAATAAATAGATGACAGATTTGATCAACAAAGGTATAATAGCAAAAACCAGACATCATAATAAGATGCGTAAAGCCAAGCATTTAAAAAATAATAACTTCAACAACAATAATAGCAATAACAATAATAATAACAATAACAAAATAAGCCTATTGGATCTGGGTTTAAATATGCGTAAGCAGCTGGAGAAACAAAAAATTAGTATCAAATTAAGGATGAGGATAAAAATAGATAAAAGGATAATAATATAAGACCCCCATCATCTAATACTTAAACAGGTTCTAGGACTTAAAAGCAGCCCACAACCCAAGCCACTTAGCCAAAATAATAGCCTGGTTCTTTAATTAATTAAAGATAATAAAATTCAACTCAAAAAGAAGATAAGACTCAATTTGATAATCAATACGAAAAGCAACAATATATAAATAAGCAATCTTAACAAGTTTAACCTCAAACTTAATAATAACAAAAGTAAACAGTTCAAGCCTAGAAAAGTTTAGAAAGCTATAAATATACTTAGAATAATAAACCATAAACTTAAATTTCAAACAATAAGCCTGATTTGAGGAGACCTGATACAGCTATAGCAAGAGAGATTTAAAAGTAAATTGAAGTTGAAGAACAGTTTGGAATTAGTTCAGAGGAATATCTACAATAGTAAATGTTAAATGATATCAAACAAAAAGACAAGTAAGAAAGGGCTCCACCAATCAAAAAGGCACCACCTCCTCCTCCTCAACCTGTGGTACCGGAAAGGCTTCCTTAGTATTTTGATAATTAGGAATTTGATTTTGGGGATGTTTCGGAGGATGAAAAACTAATTCAATAACAAATAATGGAAAGTCTTAAATTTAATTAGAAGAAAAGTTGAATCGTATATAATAATTGTATAAATGTAAAATAATATTATATATGTTTGTGCAATTTAAATTATTATATTGGATTCTTAAATTTATTTATTATTATTATAATTAAATTTATACTTAATAATTCAATTCATTGAGTCCTAGTTAAGTAATTCAAACTTAAAACGAGTTTTATTTATGATTATAAATAATCAACTTGAAAATTAAATTGTGTTATCTAGTAAATTTGGCATTATTTGTACACCATAAATGATTAATTAAATTTTTCATCAATTCTACATGTACGCCTTCAGAAAACATGCTGCCCTAAATAAGAAAAAACTTAATGCAGAATCATTTTCGTTTGTGATGCCAAAATTAAATGTCAATTCAGTAAATGAAGACCCCACAGCTTCTCTGTTAGAGCAAGACAAACTGCCGATCTCAAAGAATTAGTTTGCGAATGAATCCGTAATGATGGGATTAATATCAAGATCCTTAATCAATTAGAGTAGAAGGTGGGTGTGTAGAGAGAATAGCCGTAGATAAATGTACAAGAATGGGGAATTTAGTTGAGTAATCATCTTAAATTAATTGACGATAAAAGTAGTCATTGGATTAAGAACAAATATACAAAAAACGCAATTGAGATCATAAATAAACAGAAATTCTCCACAATAGAGAATGAAAAATCGTAATTGAAGAATTAATGGATTCTGAGATTTTTGTAAGAATATTTTTAATTAATTACAGTTCCAAATTTTCAGTTATTGAACCGACATCAAACTGGCTAAATTTATGGAGTATATTCATGTCTGTGTGCTTATTAGCGTATTTTTACTTTCTTATGATAAATTTATATTTTTCTAAAAATGAGGGAGATTAGGAATGGTACTGGGATTAATGGAAATAAGGATATACAGGTTGGCTAAATATGTTTTATACCCTTTGTATGACATTAGACATTCTAATAGAAATGCATGTATCATATTTTGAAAGGGGGGAATATGTAAAAAACAAAAAGTAGGTGTACATAAATTATTTGAAAACTGGGTTTTTCTTTGACTTTATTCCACTTTTTGTTTTATACCTTTGTCTCATATCAGAGTAAGTGAACGAGTCAACAATCATCAGATATTTCTTCTTTTTAAAATTCTATAAATTGTCAATTTATGATTAAAGATTTTAGGAAAGAGTGTAATTGCATAGAAAATCAAAAACCATATATTTGATATTTAAGATAATTGTTGAGATTCTAATTATTGTCCAATTGAATGCTGCTTTGTTCTATAGAGCAGGAATTTACATGTATGACATGAAGTAAGAAGATGAGGATAATTTTAATTGGGGCACATGGTTAGAGAATGATATGTTTAATGGTGAAATTTACAGTAAGTCATTGTAATCCCAATATTTCTTATCACTGTATTGGTCTGTGGCAACGTTGACAACTGTCTCATATGGCGACATCACTCCAGCAAACCCTCTTGAAATTCTCATTAGTACTATGGCTATGTTAATAGCTATCTTTTTGTTCGCATTGAATGTGCAGACTATCTAAGAAGTGTACTTGGAATATAAGGCAAGTAAGAAAAAGTTTTAGAAGTAAATTAATTTGTAATATTAATAAGACATCTTATAGCTATCAATAGATTTATGAGAGATAAGTAGATTTCTGTGTCATTATAGGCTAAAATTAGAAAATATTTGGATCACATATGGGATAAGTAAAGAGCAAGAGAGTAGAAGTTAGAATAGGTGGTTATAGGTTCATTAGCCCCGTCTTTAAGATAAGAATTAATGTTTGAATCCTACGGGATGGATCTAATTAAGATACCATGGATGAGCGATAATTTTACATTTGAATTTATCAAGGAATTATCGGAAGAATTAAGAGAAGTCTATTTTGCAGCTGATGAAACAATCTTTCTCGATAAAGAGGCAGTTCATGATGATTACTCATTTTATATTGTGAAAGAGGGCCAAGTTGATTTATTTATTAATAGCAGTAGTGCAACCTAACCTTTGGTTGCTCATTTGAAAAGTGGGGCAGTCTTTGGGCAATATTCCTTCATTACTGGGGATGGAAGATAATGTTCTGCCAAAACCAGGACCCAAACTACTTTATATCAAGTGAATCGGACAACTTTTATCAATACCTTACTGAAGTTTGAAGCAGACTATGAAAGATATTGTTAATTGAAAGATTTAGTTATGTTGGGCAAAAGATATGATTTATTGGTAAGATTTCACATCTATTGGTGTAGCAATTGAGTTGTTTTACTTGCAATTTGGCTGATCATATGAGTAATTGTTGTCCATTGACTCATTTCACCTTTGAATCTTAAAAGAATGTTATGGGTTCTTAGATTGTCAAAAATGAATACAAATAATAAGACAGAACAAAGGCAAAAAGAAGAAAAGCAAAATAAAAAAATATTATTGTAAATGCAGATGAATTTGAAATTGATGAAGCACAGTTAAGTGAACTTCAATAATAATATGTTGAAAAACCAAATGATAGTTATGACATTGATAAAGTTCATAGTTTTAAATATTACTTTCCTAGCTAGAATATTGACACCTTCTATTTTAATCAAATGAGGTATCCTTCAATTAATACTTTAGAAATATTTCATTAAACCATAAGAAGTATTTTACGCCTCCGCTACGACATTAGATAGTACCGAAATGATACAAAATATATTCTTAATATTAATTAATAAATATAAATGGGGAATGGATAATGTTGCAAAAGAGTTGAGAGAGTCGAAACTTTAGAAGTTGATAACAGTCCACCTTAAAATACGAAACATGCTTCACCATTCGAAGAGCCATAACAAATGGTTTCGTCCTCTGATTCAGAAGAGGAATATCAGCCTCAGAAGCATCAGTTTGGAGTATTTAAGGAGAGACACAAATCCTCTTAGCTATCAACTGGTCCACAATATTCTTTTTAAACTCTACCATCTGAATAATAATTCTCCAATTTTGTGACCTTCCAAGCTATTCCATCTCAGTAAGGAATTCATAATAATGTATTCTCCAAATTCCAAAAAGAGATGAATCAGTTTGCAAATAAGGAAACCAAAAATTAAAAGAACTTGAAAAAATAATGAATGTATTGTAATATTTGTTAAACTTATAAATCAAAATTTAATTAAAATTATTCAATTTTAGATATTAAGAAATTTCCAATTTAAATTACCTATTCAAATCTGAAAAATGTTAGTATTTTTTATTCAAATTAACCAAAATAATCACAAATATTTTATATAATATCTCAAGGCTCTAATTTTTTCCACAGAATTGGATTGTTACATAAAATACTCTTTGATGTTTAACTTCGGTTGCTATTTCAACATTCTCAACAGTTTCAAAGCCTCCATGATATGATTTATTTGCAATAATATTAATTCCTTTTATCCCAGTCTATAGTTCAGTGCAAAATACTCTTCACATGTTAAATTATTTTAATTCAAATTTAAATCTTCTTAATATGGGGATTTGAATCTAATTTAATTTTAATGTACCTCTATGCAAGATATGAAAGTAACTTTAAGGTGAAATCAAAAACCTGGATTTCAAAATCAATTGAAATTGGTATAGTTAATAAAATTGAATTTGCATCCTATCCAATATAATAGGCCATTAAAAAGAGTCTAACATAAATGATTAAATCTAAATCTAAATCTAAATGAGAACATACCTTCTTATAATTTTGAGCCCTTCAATTTGATTTCCCTACTCAATTGATTGATTGGAACTCCGTTGATTTACCCCAATTTTAGATGATTATTATTCACTATGTCGGTGACAATAATCTTAGAGTAGATTTAGTCATTCATAGCCATAGGTTCTGGATTGAGCCATAACTTAATAAATAAATGATATAACATACCCTAAGATTGAATGAATTATACTTATTATTATTCATTGTGAACCCATACCACAACAATAAGAATCTATTATTTCTTCTACCATAGAATGTATAAATCTATTCTCCCTATTGAATTTAACCTGCTGTTGTGATACAAAAATAAACTTAATCATCTTCATCATTATACCAATCGAAATCCTTCTCTGAATCATCACTACTTTCTGAACTGTCTTAATCTTTCTCCGGCTCTTCTTCAAAAGTCCTCTTGCCCTTAATTTAAATATTCGATTGTGTTTGTTTATATTATGCATTCTTGGGAATCAGACTAGTAATAATATCCTAGCATTTTTAAGTGTATTATTAATCTAACTTCATATTCTTTTCTTATAAAATCTTAAGTTCTTTCTTTCTTATCTAAGAGAGCTTGTCTACCTTATCTTCATCTTCTGAGTCGGTATCATTGTCCTCTGATTAAGAAGATGATTCANTCGAAGAGCCATAACAAATGGTTTCGTCCTCTGATTCAGAAGAGGAATATCAGCCTCAGAAGCATCAGTTTGGAGTATTTAAGGAGAGACACAAATCCTCTTAGCTATCAACTGGTCCACAATATTCTTTTTAAACTCTACCATCTGAATAATAATTCTCCAATTTTGTGACCTTCCAAGCTATTCCATCTCAGTAAGGAATTCATAATAATGTATTCTCCAAATTCCAAAAAGAGATGAATCAGTTTGCAAATAAGGAAACCAAAAATTAAAAGAACTTGAAAAAATAATGAATGTATTGTAATATTTGTTAAACTTATAAATCAAAATTTAATTAAAATTATTCAATTTTAGATATTAAGAAATTTCCAATTTAAATTACCTATTCAAATCTGAAAAATGTTAGTATTTTTTATTCAAATTAACCAAAATAATCACAAATATTTTATATAATATCTCAAGGCTCTAATTTTTTCCACAGAATTGGATTGTTACATAAAATACTCTTTGATGTTTAACTTCGGTTGCTATTTCAACATTCTCAACAGTTTCAAAGCCTCCATGATATGATTTATTTGCAATAATATTAATTCCTTTTATCCCAGTCTATAGTTCAGTGCAAAATACTCTTCACATGTTAAATTATTTTAATTCAAATTTAAATCTTCTTAATATGGGGATTTGAATCTAATTTAATTTTAATGTACCTCTATGCAAGATATGAAAGTAACTTTAAGGTGAAATCAAAAACCTGGATTTCAAAATCAATTGAAATTGGTATAGTTAATAAAATTGAATTTGCATCCTATCCAATATAATAGGCCATTAAAAAGAGTCTAACATAAATGATTAAATCTAAATCTAAATCTAAATGAGAACATACCTTCTTATAATTTTGAGCCCTTCAATTTGATTTCCCTACTCAATTGATTGATTGGAACTCCGTTGATTTACCCCAATTTTAGATGATTATTATTCACTATGTCGGTGACAATAATCTTAGAGTAGATTTAGTCATTCATAGCCATAGGTTCTGGATTGAGCCATAACTTAATAAATAAATGATATAACATACCCTAAGATTGAATGAATTATACTTATTATTATTCATTGTGAACCCATACCACAACAATAAGAATCTATTATTTCTTCTACCATAGAATGTATAAATCTATTCTCCCTATTGAATTTAACCTGCTGTTGTGATACAAAAATAAACTTAATCATCTTCATCATTATACCAATCGAAATCCTTCTCTGAATCATCACTACTTTCTGAACTGTCTTAATCTTTCTCCGGCTCTTCTTCAAAAGTCCTCTTGCCCTTAATTTAAATATTCGATTGTGTTTGTTTATATTATGCATTCTTGGGAATCAGACTAGTAATAATATCCTAGCATTTTTAAGTGTATTATTAATCTAACTTCATATTCTTTTCTTATAAAATCTTAAGTTCTTTCTTTCTTATCTAAGAGAGCTTGTCTACCTTATCTTCATCTTCTGAGTCGGTATCATTGTCCTCTGATTAAGAAGATGATTCAAAATCCAACTCCCATGCTTGTTTTTCCTTCCAAAGTTGCAACACATTGTAATTAATTTAATTAATTTTATCTCTGCTTGTTTGCCCTTCAAATTCATGAACTAACAATTGTTTATTGGTTTAGATGTAGGCTTCTTGTGAATTTCTGATTGAGTATTTTGGATCAATTTTGAAATCAAGTTCCAGCAATTTCAAATCAATCCTTTCTCTTTTAAGAGTGTATCTATTATTGGGCTGACCATTTTATTCGATTGATCTGTTAACTAAATGATATGTAGCAGGATTAGTATTAGAATGATTCAGCATATCAGCCATTGGTACTAAACTTGTGGATGGCAGTGTCCAGCCAAAACAACGAGTCATCACAAATTCGTTACTCCAATAGAACATGTCTTTGTGTTCTTCTGTTAGACTACCAAAATATTGGGGGTACTTGTTCATTAACCCTTTAAATTTATACCAAGATTTATCCATCTCAGCTTAGATATACATGAATTCATCAATTAGGGATTGATCCTATAAATTGAATAGGTCTCTATTTCTCCATTCAAACATAGTATGTTGTTCTACTACATTCAAATAAGGATACCAAAATGACTTCTCTCCTTATAATTTATGATAAAATATGTAAAGTGCTATAGGGTACAACTTATTTCATACCCAAACAATTGAATTCAGCATCCGCAGTAATCTAATCATCAAAAAATTGTTTATGAGTCTTGAACATATCACTCAATTCACTTTTCAATACTTTATGATGACTTATTATCAATTTGTTTGGTATTGCAATAATTACCTTATTAGCGGGAATATTCATTTTTGCACTAACTCCAGTATAACCTTAAGCTCCAAAAGCAGATGGATACTAAACTTCATCGGATATCAAGGCACCATTTTCTTTGCACCATTTTATGAATAGAATGTATTTTTCTTTGTTGCACAATTCTGTAGTTTTTAATGAATTAAACATAAATAATTAAAATTTACAATTTATTATAAAATTTTTGTTTAAATTTCATTCATTTCAAGATCAACGATAATATGAGTATAACTCAGAATGCGTGGAAATGCATTGCTATTTTCCATTTAATGGAATTGATAGAATTTTTAGAATAGAACCAAAATTATCAACTAACTAAACTGGATTCTTAATTAAATTAATAATTAATTTGATTGGAAAACTGAAAAATGTTCATTTTCTTATGAATTAAAACAGTATTTTGATAATTTTAATTAGTTATAAATTAAATAGTACAAGACATATAGACAAAAGAGGATGAAGATGGGAAGAAAACTAAAAGTGTAACATTTTGTTTTGATAAAAACATTATCCACTCTATTTACAAGTGTCCATCTGAGTATTTGAGTAAGAAAAAGAGAAGACAACTAAGCAGAAAAATCTCAAGTTCAATTAAGGGTAGATACTTCGATGATTAGACATCCTCTGATGAAGAAACTAGAAACTATTCAGATCTTGAGGAGTATGAACACTTCTACAGCATAATTGAATGGAAAAATCTCTCAGAAGAATCTTCTTTAAAAATGACTCCCAATAATTTGAATGATGTTATAAATTCAAAAAATTTCAATGATTTTAAAGATGGGAACACACAAAATCCCAAATCATGTCTCAAATAGATCAAAAAATTAGACATTCTTTCTTAATTCGACGAGTTGAAGAAGTAAGATTAAAACGATGATTTACAAACTGAAATTAGTTCTTAAAAAAATTTAAATAAAGAGAATCTTTAAAATGACAAATATATCATTGTGAGCAAATTCAAAGAACATTAGGAGGAGGATGAGGAAGAAGTAACAAAATTAAGCATATCATAGATATCTATCAATCTTGATGATTTGGATGAATTCTAATGTACTTATAAGGAATAGAGATCATAAGACATTTCGGTTTTCGATTAAGTGAGGAAAAAAATAGATTTCAAATCAGCATTTAAGATTATTGATAAATAGAGATTGCAATTTATTTATAATAACAATCAAGCAGATTTGGCCAAAACTTCATATTTATTCATTTCCTATTGAAGAGGTTTCATAGTTTCATCTAGAATTTTCATTTATTCTTATATGTTATATATTTTTACAGTTATGGCCTTACTTCTATCCACAATAGTCTAAAGTCCTTAATTAACTTCATCTAACTACAATGACATGAATATTGAAATTACATTATTTTAGAGCATGGCTTATTTTGAGATAATCATCTCCCTCTCTGATTGCAAAGATCCAACCTTCCTTTCCAATTCCACTAATTCATTTTTCAATTCTTTAGTTTAGATTTGCAGCTGCTATTTCTCCTATTCAAGAATATCGCATCTCAGTTTAAACATTCTGTATTGATTGGTGAAAGCATTATCTTTGGGCATCGTTGCGTGTTCTTGAACTGCCATTTATTCTGTTTATTTTGGAATCTGCTATTTTTGTTCAGCAAAAGTGCAGATTAAATTTTATAAACCCAAATTAATTGCATGTGCACTTATTTTTGACCTGCAGAGACTGCATTTCTAGATTCTTAGCTTTGTCCCGTCTAAAACGCAAGATTTACAAAATGAATGTCCACATGGAAATAATAAGATGGGAGAATACTAAGGAGGTACCATGAGTTCAAAGCAAATTGCACAAGTTTATTATTCCACCATCTAGCACACTTTGCTTTCAAGATTATTTTTGCTTTGACTTCCAAAAGCTCTTTCTGCAATCTTATAAGTCAATTAAGCCAAGTAATCTTAATTTTGGTGATCAATTCTAAAAAGATCATTAAATATGATGAATTACCCTTGACTATCGAGTATTTTCTTTAACTCCAGGGAAGCTTTCCAATTTTGTAAAGATTAAAGTCTTGCTTCGTTGGCCATAATAGTAAATATTTATATTTATTTGTTTTTATTATAAAATTTGAATTAAGGATAGAATTTAAACATTTTACAAAGACATGTTTATTTGATAATATTATTCTGAACGTTGATATGATATGTAAATTAAGCAAGCTTAGGTTCCTATTAATTATGTTAGTATTTGAGAGAAAAAAGGAATGACCTTTGTTTTTTTAATATTTTTAATTAATTAAATTAACAGTTCGAAACATTAATTATTTTGAATTTTAATATGACTACAAATATTCAAGTGATATGTCGATTTAGACCTCCCATTCCTGGATAGGTTGAAAGCTAAATCTACTTCGCAGATGAAAGAAGTGTTCTCATAGAAAACCAACAATTCAATTTCGATCATATATTCCATCCAGGAAAATAAATTGATGTATTTAAGGTGGCAGCAGAGCCAGTAATATAAGGAGTCTTAGAGGGATTCAATGGGACTGTGGTAGCTTATGGCTAAACTGGATCTGGAAAGACTCATACGATGGAAGGGACGACTGGAGATGATTAAGGAATAATAAAAAGAATGGTCAATACAGTGTTTGATTATATTGAAGCCAGTCCGGATTATGTAGAGTACCGAATAAAAATATCAGTGACAGAGTTGTACATGGAAAAAGTGAGAGACTTACAAAACATCNACAAGACATATAGACAAAAGAGGATGAAGATGGGAAGAAAACTAAAAGTGTAACATTTTGTTTTGATAAAAACATTATCCACTCTATTTACAAGTGTCCATCTGAGTATTTGAGTAAGAAAAAGAGAAGACAACTAAGCAGAAAAATCTCAAGTTCAATTAAGGGTAGATACTTCGATGATTAGACATCCTCTGATGAAGAAACTAGAAACTATTCAGATCTTGAGGAGTATGAACACTTCTACAGCATAATTGAATGGAAAAATCTCTCAGAAGAATCTTCTTTAAAAATGACTCCCAATAATTTGAATGATGTTATAAATTCAAAAAATTTCAATGATTTTAAAGATGGGAACACACAAAATCCCAAATCATGTCTCAAATAGATCAAAAAATTAGACATTCTTTCTTAATTCGACGAGTTGAAGAAGTAAGATTAAAACGATGATTTACAAACTGAAATTAGTTCTTAAAAAAATTTAAATAAAGAGAATCTTTAAAATGACAAATATATCATTGTGAGCAAATTCAAAGAACATTAGGAGGAGGATGAGGAAGAAGTAACAAAATTAAGCATATCATAGATATCTATCAATCTTGATGATTTGGATGAATTCTAATGTACTTATAAGGAATAGAGATCATAAGACATTTCGGTTTTCGATTAAGTGAGGAAAAAAATAGATTTCAAATCAGCATTTAAGATTATTGATAAATAGAGATTGCAATTTATTTATAATAACAATCAAGCAGATTTGGCCAAAACTTCATATTTATTCATTTCCTATTGAAGAGGTTTCATAGTTTCATCTAGAATTTTCATTTATTCTTATATGTTATATATTTTTACAGTTATGGCCTTACTTCTATCCACAATAGTCTAAAGTCCTTAATTAACTTCATCTAACTACAATGACATGAATATTGAAATTACATTATTTTAGAGCATGGCTTATTTTGAGATAATCATCTCCCTCTCTGATTGCAAAGATCCAACCTTCCTTTCCAATTCCACTAATTCATTTTTCAATTCTTTAGTTTAGATTTGCAGCTGCTATTTCTCCTATTCAAGAATATCGCATCTCAGTTTAAACATTCTGTATTGATTGGTGAAAGCATTATCTTTGGGCATCGTTGCGTGTTCTTGAACTGCCATTTATTCTGTTTATTTTGGAATCTGCTATTTTTGTTCAGCAAAAGTGCAGATTAAATTTTATAAACCCAAATTAATTGCATGTGCACTTATTTTTGACCTGCAGAGACTGCATTTCTAGATTCTTAGCTTTGTCCCGTCTAAAACGCAAGATTTACAAAATGAATGTCCACATGGAAATAATAAGATGGGAGAATACTAAGGAGGTACCATGAGTTCAAAGCAAATTGCACAAGTTTATTATTCCACCATCTAGCACACTTTGCTTTCAAGATTATTTTTGCTTTGACTTCCAAAAGCTCTTTCTGCAATCTTATAAGTCAATTAAGCCAAGTAATCTTAATTTTGGTGATCAATTCTAAAAAGATCATTAAATATGATGAATTACCCTTGACTATCGAGTATTTTCTTTAACTCCAGGGAAGCTTTCCAATTTTGTAAAGATTAAAGTCTTGCTTCGTTGGCCATAATAGTAAATATTTATATTTATTTGTTTTTATTATAAAATTTGAATTAAGGATAGAATTTAAACATTTTACAAAGACATGTTTATTTGATAATATTATTCTGAACGTTGATATGATATGTAAATTAAGCAAGCTTAGGTTCCTATTAATTATGTTAGTATTTGAGAGAAAAAAGGAATGACCTTTGTTTTTTTAATATTTTTAATTAATTAAATTAACAGTTCGAAACATTAATTATTTTGAATTTTAATATGACTACAAATATTCAAGTGATATGTCGATTTAGACCTCCCATTCCTGGATAGGTTGAAAGCTAAATCTACTTCGCAGATGAAAGAAGTGTTCTCATAGAAAACCAACAATTCAATTTCGATCATATATTCCATCCAGGAAAATAAATTGATGTATTTAAGGTGGCAGCAGAGCCAGTAATATAAGGAGTCTTAGAGGGATTCAATGGGACTGTGGTAGCTTATGGCTAAACTGGATCTGGAAAGACTCATACGATGGAAGGGACGACTGGAGATGATTAAGGAATAATAAAAAGAATGGTCAATACAGTGTTTGATTATATTGAAGCCAGTCCGGATTATGTAGAGTACCGAATAAAAATATCAGTGACAGAGTTGTACATGNTAAATAGAGATTGCAATTTATTTATAATAACAATCAAGCAGATTTGGCCAAAACTTCATATTTATTCATTTCCTATTGAAGAGGTTTCATAGTTTCATCTAGAATTTTCATTTATTCTTATATGTTATATATTTTTACAGTTATGGCCTTACTTCTATCCACAATAGTCTAAAGTCCTTAATTAACTTCATCTAACTACAATGACATGAATATTGAAATTACATTATTTTAGAGCATGGCTTATTTTGAGATAATCATCTCCCTCTCTGATTGCAAAGATCCAACCTTCCTTTCCAATTCCACTAATTCATTTTTCAATTCTTTAGTTTAGATTTGCAGCTGCTATTTCTCCTATTCAAGAATATCGCATCTCAGTTTAAACATTCTGTATTGATTGGTGAAAGCATTATCTTTGGGCATCGTTGCGTGTTCTTGAACTGCCATTTATTCTGTTTATTTTGGAATCTGCTATTTTTGTTCAGCAAAAGTGCAGATTAAATTTTATAAACCCAAATTAATTGCATGTGCACTTATTTTTGACCTGCAGAGACTGCATTTCTAGATTCTTAGCTTTGTCCCGTCTAAAACGCAAGATTTACAAAATGAATGTCCACATGGAAATAATAAGATGGGAGAATACTAAGGAGGTACCATGAGTTCAAAGCAAATTGCACAAGTTTATTATTCCACCATCTAGCACACTTTGCTTTCAAGATTATTTTTGCTTTGACTTCCAAAAGCTCTTTCTGCAATCTTATAAGTCAATTAAGCCAAGTAATCTTAATTTTGGTGATCAATTCTAAAAAGATCATTAAATATGATGAATTACCCTTGACTATCGAGTATTTTCTTTAACTCCAGGGAAGCTTTCCAATTTTGTAAAGATTAAAGTCTTGCTTCGTTGGCCATAATAGTAAATATTTATATTTATTTGTTTTTATTATAAAATTTGAATTAAGGATAGAATTTAAACATTTTACAAAGACATGTTTATTTGATAATATTATTCTGAACGTTGATATGATATGTAAATTAAGCAAGCTTAGGTTCCTATTAATTATGTTAGTATTTGAGAGAAAAAAGGAATGACCTTTGTTTTTTTAATATTTTTAATTAATTAAATTAACAGTTCGAAACATTAATTATTTTGAATTTTAATATGACTACAAATATTCAAGTGATATGTCGATTTAGACCTCCCATTCCTGGATAGGTTGAAAGCTAAATCTACTTCGCAGATGAAAGAAGTGTTCTCATAGAAAACCAACAATTCAATTTCGATCATATATTCCATCCAGGAAAATAAATTGATGTATTTAAGGTGGCAGCAGAGCCAGTAATATAAGGAGTCTTAGAGGGATTCAATGGGACTGTGGTAGCTTATGGCTAAACTGGATCTGGAAAGACTCATACGATGGAAGGGACGACTGGAGATGATTAAGGAATAATAAAAAGAATGGTCAATACAGTGTTTGATTATATTGAAGCCAGTCCGGATTATGTAGAGTACCGAATAAAAATATCAGTGACAGAGTTGTACATGGAAAAAGTGAGAGACTTACAAAACATCAAGAAAACAGATCTGAAAATAAGAGAGGATAAAAACCATTCAACCTACATTGAAGGAGTAACTGAAACATCAATAGCTGATTAATCAGAAATATATGATATATTGAAAATGTGTAATGCTAATCGAATGATAGCAAGCACTAATATGAATGAATAGTCATCTCGATCACACATGATATTTTTAATGACAGTTTAATCTATAGACTTAAGAGATTAGTCTGCCAAAACAGGCAAACTATTTTTGGTAGATTTGGCGGGTAGTGAAAAAGTGTCTAAAACAGGAGCAGAGGGCAAAATCTTGGATGAGGCTAAAGGGATCAACAAGTCATTGTCAGCCTTAGGTTAGGTGATTAATGCACTTACAGATGGAAGTTAACATGTACCATACAGAGATTCAAAATTAACAAGAATTCTGCAGTGTTCTTTTGGTGGTAACAGTAGAACTACACTTATCATTACATGTTCTCCTGCTCAATTTAATTTGTAGGAGACTCTCTCGACTCTGAGATTCGGAGTGAGAGCAAAGGCAATCAAAAACAAGCCCAAAATAAATAAGGAACACACTGTGGAAGAATTGAAGATGATTGTCTAAGAGAAAGAAAGAGAAATATTATTATTGTAGGAACAATTGTCATAATTCAAAAAAGGCATTGTGATTAGTGAAGAAGATAAGGAAATTTTGAAAGATATATAGGAGGAAATCAATTCTGAGGTCCCAAATAACAATGAATAGTTATTATAAATGCAATAGATAATGGCTAAGTATGAGTAAGAAATTGAGATGTTTAAACAGGCCCAATTCATAAATTAATAGAAGGAAATAGAATTAAGAAACCAATTGAGAATAAAAGAGGATGAAATGCAAGAAAGTAATTATCATAATAATACAATTAATAGAGATTTAGGATTATGAACACCAGTATCTGAGAATGGAGACTGACTATTAAAAAAAGCTATCTAATATCCAAAGAACTTTGTCTTAAAAACTTGGTCAAAATGGAGAGAAGGACATCTTTGAAGATGACTAAGTTCTGACTCTGATTGACAACTTTGTGAAGGAGAGAGTCACTTCTAAATTAAAATAGATTACCTATTTATATAAGAAACATCACAAGGATCAATTGAATGAATAATTAATGGCCTTTTTAACAGACGATAAAAAGGAATTCAATATTCAAAGTAATCTTTAATATTTATGTAGACGATTAATTGGCTGAGTTACATACGTAAGTGGCTCAATTGAAGAAATAGAATTTGGAATTGTAGACTGATAACAGCAGTCAATAGGAACTCTTAGAAACTTTGGAAAAGACTTAACAGCTTTTAGATGCCGAAAAAGCAAAGTCATTAAAATTAGAGAATCAATTGGCTAAAAGTATGAATGACGAATATTGAAATAGATAATAGGAATTATGATGAGAAATGCAAAGAGTTAAATAATAACATTGAGAAAATGTTGGAAGGAGTGCATCAAGTGATTAATGAGAAATAAAAGTATTAAAGAGAATGTCAGAGATTAAAGAAATTGATTGATGATAGACAACTCAAAATCTTTGTACTTTTATTATTTTAATATCAATTAGAAATTATCAGAAGAAGTAAACAGACTTAGCGTAGAAAATCAGAAGTTGTTTGTGAAATATGATTAATTAAAAGAGTTACAGAGATTGGAAAAGAATTCCATGTTGGATACATCTGAAGTCAATTCTTCATTCAGACAAAACAAGAAGATCTATAAATGTTTGAAAGGTGGCACCAAAAATCCCATAAATTAACAAATTATAGGTAAAGAGAATGTGTCAGAAGATGAAAAATGAATTAATTTACTTATATACATCTTATAAATTTAATTAAATAACGTAGCAATCTCAATTTTTATCGCTTATACAAACAAGTAATACTTCCATTTGGTGAACTTTTGATCACCTAAATTTTTGAGTGAATAATTATATTATTTGTTGGAAACATTGTTTGAAGAGAATAATAATAGAAATAATTTACAGAAAGGAAAAGGCCAACAACAGCCAGGGATCTTAATAATAATTAATATAAGAATTTAGTTGTAATACATTTTAAAGGAAAGAGAGAAAAGTCTAAAATACAGAAGAAAAGAGGAAGTTTATAATTAGTCAAATTAAATAGTGTGTTACATGATTTAGGCGAAATATAATTATTTCAAGACCATACATATACAACGCATAACATTCCAAATTAACTCCTTATGATGGGAAACTTATATTTGACAACAGCAATGAAGAAGATGGCAAATATTTCTAGGAGATAACAATTATTTAATGGAAATCAAACCTTAAGAAAGAACTGTTATAAAAAACATTCAAACTCAGGAAAGGGGTTGATTTTAGATAATTAGAAAGTAATAAGAGATGTATTGAAATCAATATCTAATTGAATAGGTGGAATAATTGTTGAGAGTAATGTAAAAATAATTTCTCATTTTTAATATAGTTTAAATTCTAGAGGATAAATGAGATGTTATGATGTTTTAAATAATTGTTTTGCAAAGCTTATTGGTCATAAATTTGGTTAGCAGGAGATTTCTTAGGGTTTGATATAATAATAATGACATCGAATGAAATAATGGAATTACCACATATTTAGTTATATACGTTTTTAATTTACTATTTTAATTAATGAGATTTTCATATGTCTTAAGTCTATATTTAGTGATGGTTTCAGCCACTATGAAGGATTCCAAAACTATTCTGACAGAAATAGACACGTAACGCTCTGGAAGGATATTTTTAAATGCTATTTAGATAGGTTTAGCAACAGGTTCACCAGTTCATGAAATCCAAAGTTATATTAATAATATTAGGTATTATGATATTCTTTATTAGTATAGATTTATGATTGAATAAGAATAAAAGGATGCTGACCTATTTATATAAAATACGTAGGCTTCTTGTAATAGATTATTGCATGACTTTGCTACAAATTTGGCTTACCATTAATAGTAATTTAAAGCTCATTCTAAAATCGTTGAAGTAAGTAGTTTGAATTTATAAATAAGGAAAACTAAAGGAATTTGGAACGTTCTTTAAATAAAATTGCTGAGGTCTCTGTGGAAATTGAAGAAAACCTAAGAAAAACAAATGAAGGTTAGAGTGAAAGAGATCTTTAATACTCAGAATTTTAATCGAAACAAAAAGATCACATAGAATCAATTTCTGCTATTGATGAGGCTTATGCATTGATTGAACATTTATCGGGTGGATCTTCGTTCATCCAAGTGAAAAGTAGATTCACCAAAGTGTTGTCCAGATTATAAAAGTAACGTAGTGATTTTGAAATTCTAGTCAATCTACATCAGCTGGATTATTGTTTTAACCGATCATATCCATGATGACTTAAATGAGTTCAAGAGCAGATGCAGATCAAGCCAAGAAGGTGTTACAACTGTTAGCCAACTTAAGGGTTCAAATTGTGGAGAGCAAATCCTAAGATGAGGACATTGAGAAACAATAGTCTTAAGGGTGGTAGAAGTTCTTATCGGATCTTATCAATGAGAGAAACACTCTCTAGGATCAGAGGTAGAATTTAGAATAGGCAATCTTAAATTACTAAAGCATAATAGAAGAATCTGAGGGAAAGGTTGAGTATCATTAGGCAGAAGTAGAGAGAAATCAAGTAATGTAATTAATTTAAGTTTAGAATAATTTGGATGGTCAAGATTAATGGTGCAGACAACAGTAGGAAATTTATTAGATGGAATCTTAATAGAGAGTTTAATCGCTTGATTTGATTTCAAGAATTGTGGATCACATTCAAGATAAGATTGTGACTCTTAAGGAGTACTTGAGAGAAAGATTGCAAATACACTGAAATTTAAATATATATATATAATTCCCTATTCATTGTAATTTAATCAAAACTATATCTTGAAGAATGTTCGATAATTTCTCGAAATTATGATTATTTAATTATTATGGAAAAATTACAAAAGTTTGTTAATGAGTTCTATTAAAAATTGAATGCCAAGCCTGATGAATTTGCTATGTGTAGAATCAGACTCAAGTAATATCTATAACAACTCAATTTACAATATGGTGACAATATTTAGGAATAAGAAAACCAATATTTAAATTAATTATCAGAAGATAACTACTCATATCTCAGCATTGAAAACGATAGAGGTATAACTGCTGAATATAATGAAATGAAGTATTTTAGAAAATTGGCTGATTTTATTAAAAAACTTAAAAAATAACATTTATAATCCAATTATTTGCCCACTAATTCTCCATAAATTGGAAGATTATCCAGAGATAGATTATTGGAAATACTAACTTAAGAGGTAAATGATTTAATCTGCATGTCTTAATTTATTCATCCCTATTCAGGAATACATCAATAATTGAAAATCATTGAATAATAAATCAATCTCTTAAAGCAAATTAAGTAATTTGAAGAGTAAGTCTAAATTAAATCCCCACTAAATTAGCCCAACAATATATCTAAAGAGATGGCAACCCTCATATCAAATTAGGATGAAAATTTCATATAATCATTGCAAAAAGAAGGTTTTCACATGACCAGAATAAGTTAAGTGTTCTACTATCAAAGATATTTGCTATCATATGTTTTGAGATCTGAACTTTTTGGCCTAGATCTACCCCCTGGCTTTGTTATCCGATTGACCCTTACAAATAAACCAAAACGATATTAGTACTATTTCGTAACCCAAATTAAAGAAGAGTCTGAATTAAACATAAACAAAAACGAATTTGCTAAACATTATCTATCCCTTTTTGTTTCCGATCATTTGGATCACTTAGTCCCAAAATACTTTGGTAATTTATAAGCCTTCTACGGAAATGCTATGCAATAATAAATTACACAATATGAGCAATTTAAAAATCCGTTATTCCATTTTAAAAAAGATATCTTTGAAGCCTCCTACGACTTACAAGAATTCAATGCAATCAAACCAAAAGATATTTTTGCAGCATTTCTCAAATTTCTTGATTTTCTTGCAGAAACATAAATTTTTGATTTCAATTATCATTCTAAAACAAATCAAGATAGAATAAAATCAATGCAAATTAGCGAAGAAGTTATTTCCATCACTTATAAACGAGTTAAAAAGATGGAAGATACGTTTATTTACATCCAGGAAGTAATATTTCCTTAACACTACAATGTAAAATTAATATAGATCACTCAATTATTGAATCCTTTGTTTTTCCAATTCATGCGATTGGAGACGAGCAAACTACAAAAATTAACTGAGTATGAAGACTTTATAAATAAGTTAAATTTAGAAGAAGTTATGCACAAACTTGTTGATGGGTATTTGCTGATAAAATACAACAATCAATTGAGAGAATTAAAGTAGGAGGTGGATAAACAAAATAAATAAGTTTTGAAGTTGCCATCTTTCACAGTGATTGAATTTTTCTAAAAATTGAATATCAATTATGATATCAGTTTAATCAATAGAATCAAGCTCATAGATTATTTGGCATATACAAACTTCTACAATTTAGATACATAATTTAAAAATCATTAAGATGAAATCTATGATCCTGTCATACGAAATTTTAATAAATCATGGTTTGATTATGAATTATGGAAGTAAGCATTCCAAGCTAATTATTAATATGCACAATCAAGTTCATAATTTAAAAATACTTTCCTTGTTGAATTATTAGCAATTCAATTTTTAGGCAACAAATTTTAAGAACTGAATTTAAATTTATTTGAATCTATTTCAGAAATCGATTAAACAGATGAGTAATGCAACAAAATTATATTGTATTTGATGAATAAGAAAATGCATAACATTGTTGGTTTGGGACAGCTTTCAATTGCTGAAAGTTCCCTTAAACACAAAAAGTTTAATCTATTCTTGAAATTGCTATCAATAGAAAATAATAGAAAAATAAGAAACAACTTCTTTGATTATTTATTAGAAGATGACAATTAATTACAAAAGTTTCATAATTAAATCTTCGAAGGTGTTGAAAAATATTATCCTCATCTGTTGGGGAGTTTGGGATGGAACTACTTTTGGACTCAGATGACAAAACAAAGTGGGTAATATGAATTCTAAATACTATACAAAGGATCAGTCCACTTTACAAGTCAATAATATGAATGTATTTTCAACAATAACCTCTTGGATAACAGATAAGATTTGCCTAATTACTTAGAAGTCAATTTGAATACGATAATCAATCAAAATTTTGATAAGCATTTCGCATTGCTTAATGTGAAAGATAATTCCCTCTTGTTCATGCAACCCAACTTCCCACTCTAAAAATATATGGCCATATCTCTATATAAATTGATCTCGTTAGATTAATTTATCTCCAAGGTTGAATTGGCCACTCATAAAGGTTAAATTTACTCCATTTATGAAGTGATCAATACAATGATTGAAGGATAAAGGATTAGATTTACAATAGCTCAATATATGTTGCATCATCATTTCAATGAATAAAATTTAATAAACAAAATAGGTTCGTAGAATTTAGCATATAAAATCTTACTGAGCATCCTTCTACTCCCAACTAACATCACTCCTGATTAAGAGTTATTAGTACCTTGTGGAAATTACTTTGCTCCTGTTACAACTAACTTTTATTTTGATCCAAAACATGACAATTTAATAAATATTTGTGGATTTGAGAGAGAAGGAGATAAAATCAATTTATGTTGTAAAAACATTTATTTTCTTACATAATTTATGAATGAAAAGATAGATCCAAAATACTTAAGTGCTTTTTCAAATTTAACAATCATTTTGTAATAATGGTTGAAACAATTAAGTTAACTTGATTTGAAGGTCGATAAGACATAGTCTATCTTAATCTTACCACTTAATAAAGAAAACATGATTGCTTTGATACATCGTGCAACTTTGATTTAATAGGCCAAATAGAACATAACCTATTTAGATCTACTTAAATAATGCGATCCAAATTTAGGAGAATATTATCAAACTCTCATCAGCAATAGCACATTAAATTTGATCTAAAAATTCAATGAGCTCTCCAGTACCTTACCTATTTGTTTGACTCGACAAGATTTTATTTCTTTTAGAGAAAGCTTTTCATTTTCAAAGTATCCTTCCAGTTTCCAATTGAAAAATTCCATTGGACCATCAAAAGGTTTGAAGATGGTGTTAAAATACACAAGACTTTTGACTGAAGTTGAGGATTTCAGTAAAAAGTTACAAATCATTAAGAAACCAAATCACTTTTAATTATTGATAAATTCAATCGATTGGAGGAATCTGAAGGAATCATAAGTATCAGTAATGCTAGAAAATCTACTAAAATATTCATAAGATTACAATCAACCTTTTGAATATGTAAACTTTAGTTGCTTATCGTATAGATAGTTCTCTTAAATATTTATGCAATTTGAACTAATAAGAATTAAGATTTTAAATATTTCATATATAGATACAATTACAGATAGCTTCATTAATGAGATTTGTTATAAATGCAGTGAATTACATGTATTGAATATCAGTGGGTGTTCTGGATTGATTCAATTAGGTGTCTAGAAGAAATTACAATTTTTGAGATTGAAGACTCTATTGGCTTCAGAGATACCAAACTTAAAATCGATTGAAATGAGTGGATAATTCCTGCAGAATTTAAATGTGAATAATTGTCCTTAATTATTGTAAGTCTATACAATCAATCAATTAAATAAGATTTAAGCAAAAGGATGCAAATAATTATAGCAAGAAATAGTGGAGATGTGGATGTTATAAGGAATATAAGTAATCTTTGATGATATCACATCAAATGGGGCTTTCAAACAATTAGCAAATAAGAAAATAATTAAAGTGAATGAAGAGGAATCATCGTTCTAAAAAACCTATGTGGAGTTTATGTTCTCATTGTTGGGTGATATTTATGAGAAATTTCTATTTACTGATTAAAATTCAAGATCCCCTCTGCCGACTTACTTGGTGAAAAGTGGAATCGTTATTGAAGATTAACAAAGTTAGTTTTTAACATTTTTATCCAAATAACTTGACGATAAAAGTAAGAAAGTGTACATTTTTGGGATCTTTCAATGTTTATTTAAGAATTAATTTATAAACACTTTAGAATTACAATCTTTGATTTCTCATAAAAGCGAAGACAAGCGAAAATTCTTGGATTAATTTTTAATTGATCTTTCTTCAATAATTGAGAGTAGTATAGGCAGAGAGTAATTCTTAGTGAGTTAGACAGTGAAGTAATTCTTATAGAATATTGAATGGATAACAATTCCAAGTGCTAGTGAATCTGTTTTGGAAAAGATAGTTTAATTGTTGCAATAGATTTCGTACTATAAATAGTTCATAAAGGTGAGTTTTGCTAATTTGAAAATGATTAAGAGTTCAATCATTGAAAAGTATCTCTCAAATTTGAAATAATCAGACAAATATCTACATTTTCCATCCTTGGATTTCTCAGGGAATAGTTTGACTGTAGATAATTTACATGAGATATTTAATGAAGGCACTTTCAGTGTTATTAATATTCAACATTTGAATTTGAGCAATGCAGGAATAGATGATAATATGTTGATATCAATAAGTAAGTAATTTTGGGAATGTGAAAATTTGAGATACATTGATTTGAGCAGGAATTAAATTACAAGTTAAGGATTAGACCACTTATTTGAATAGGCCTTGCAAGATAAGGTTGTCAAGACTCCTCTGAATTCATTGAATTTAAGTCATAATAGTATTGGAAATGCTAAATTTGAATTGCTGGCCAAATTGGAATAACAACAATGGTAAAATAAGGAAAATTAGATGATTTATCTGAAGAATTTAACATTATAGAATTGTTTTTAAATAGATTAAGACATATCGTCATTTTGTAAATTCTTATGTTAAAGTTACAATTTGTAAGCATTAGATTTGAGAAGAAACAAGTTTAATACATAAACTACTCAAGAACTCTCTAAGTCTATTGGTTAAAACAAAACTTTGAGTCAATTATTCTTTTAAAATGAGAGCATTGATTCAAATTTAATGTTTGAGGAGTTGATTAAAAGTTAAACCTTATAATATATGGATTTGACTTTGAAAAGCTTTAAAAAAGAGATCTCTTTTCTATTTGAAAAATTAATTACACTTTCAATCACTCTTCCAACAATTGATGATGATTCTCTGAGACTCTTAACTAAACTCTATCAAGGTAGTTAAACCGTATTGTTCTTTGATTTACATATCTTGGATTAGGAATTAAAGCAGAGAACCTATTATAAATTAGGAATGTCCAAAATAAACTACTTTAGAGAGAAGAAAGAACAAAAGGAAACTATGTTGAGTGAGAAGTTTGTTAAATAAGACACTCTGAGGATAGATATCTCAGATTACAGTTATACTGGGTTGTCTTTGGATGGAGGAGGAATGAGAGGACTGTTACCAGCGACAATTGTCAATTATTTGTGTACTTAGATGAAGAAGGAGCCTTATCAATTATTCGATAGCATCGGAGGCACATCTATTGGAGGGATGTTGGCCTTAACTATGGTTGGGACAAAAGATAATTAGAGTCCATTAGTTGATAAGGATGGTTTGATCAAGTTATTTACTGAGGAAGGGAAGACTATATTTGAGGATTCAAAGAGAGGGGTTTGGAATATCATGAGTAAATCTAAGTATGATGCTAAGGGAATAGAGAATGTATTATCTAGATATTGTGGAACTGTGAAGTTGAGTGAAACGATTTAAAATACAAATGTGATAGTTACAGCTGTCAAATTACAAAAGCAGAGAGGGGAGACAGTTGCTAAAGTATTCAGTTCACGAAAAGCCAAAGTTGATCTCACAGAGAATTTCTTAATGAAGGATGTCGGAAGAGCCACTTCAGCTGCACCAACCTATTTTCCCGCTGCTTAAATCAAATCTTTAGCAGGAAAGGAGTATCAATTTATTGATGGGGGCATAGGAGTCAACAACCCATCCAATTTTGTTTTGGAAGATCTCAGAAAGTGTATGTTGAATAGAGATTAGGACAATTTCTTCCTTCTAAGTCTCTCTACTGGAGTGGCCAAATAAAAGTAACAACTACAAGTTGATGAAGGGTTATTGAGTGTTGGAAAAATAATAGATGCCTTTGGTGAAAGTAATCAAGATTTTGTGGATCTTGAGCTCAAAAGACATGAAGGGAAATATCTCAGAATAAATCCAGAGTATGATCTTTAAGGTATATATTTGAATTATAAATTATAAAGAGAGTATGGCATAGATGGATTGTACTGATCCAAAAGTGTTTGAGGAGTATTAATAGGCAGCTTTGGTTGCAGCGGAATCATACTTTCATAAAGAAATATTCGGAAGATATTAGGACAAATCTTTCATTCGGTGGTTGGAAGAAAATACTGCAAGACGACTAGAATCTAAATGATATTTTGAATCATCTTTAGAAATTTATTATTATTATTATTATACAATATAAAAGAATTTAAGAAGAATTATTGAAAAATAATCAATATAGTTTGTCATATACATGATTATTTTTTTTAAGGATCTCGCCCAAATGTTAATTTGGGAAATAAGAAAGAATGACGTTTTTATCTTTTTTTATTTCATATACTTCTTGTTTTTTTGGAGATTTGTGTCTTTTATCAGTAGTTTTTAGATGTCTTTCAAGATACTTTAGATGAGATTATTTTAGCAAATTACACAACTTGTCTTTTGAAGATTTTGACTTTTTCATGCCTTTGTTTTATAGAGTTATCTCTCTTGATTTAGAATGACTTGCATTCTATTCACTTGATTTGTTTAGATTATTGTAATTACTAATATGAAATGTAGAGTATTTTTATTTTTATTCTTTGATCTCTTGAACAAACCCATATAATCTGTAAGAGTCATTTAAAAACTTATTTCTTTGAATACTACATTTATTAATTTGATAGTATTTTTTTGGTTGGCTTTTCTCCTGTAGAGGTGAGAAAGTATCTTAACAGTGTTGATTGATGGATGTGCTCATGAGTTCACTGTTTTGTCTATCTATTTCCTTAGATTCGGCTTTTATTTAATTTTTCTTCAATTATGGGAATTTGGTTTGGATTGTAGCATTCACAGAATTAACTCTTTTGTAATTGATATCATAGGATTTGGGTGTTGAAAACAATTATTGACGTGAGTCTTCAATAATGGATAGACTGTTCAACTTTTGGGAACTATTTGATGGTTGTGTCTGGAAATACTTTTTAAGTTTTTCATTCCTTTCGACATCATTACATAATAGATTGTGATATTTTTTCTGTTTTCTTGATGGGGAAATGGAGCACGCTCTTTGTTTGAATTTCTCCAACTCATTCAGCATATCCTTTCTAGACATATAAATAGGTTGTTTATTGATTTTTTGATGCAGTGCCAAAGATCCTTAAGGTTTTATGATTCGATTGTTCTGTGAGTTGAGTGGACTGTATAACCAGATATTATGAGGTAATGAATGAGAGACAAATTTGCGACCCTATTCATATTTATTCGTTTATCTGATCTCTCTGACATTTGCAAAATTTTTTTTTTTTGCTAGAAAGTTGATTGGAGTTTGTAAATCGAAAAATTATTTTGGAGCAAGAATATTTAACTTGTACATTGAAAAAATATTAATGTGCAAATGCAATATAATCATTTTTTTGTAATATCTAGCATATTAATTTAATAATAAAATAAGTTAGTTAAATTTATGTAGCTGAAGTCAGTTCATCAATACTACATAAAAGCCAAAAACCAATCTAAGGATCAGAAAGGGACAAAATGCAAAGAGTAGACTCAAGCCACTGCCTCCCAAATCTCCTTGATTTTGAGTAAGATGAACGGCAAGATTATTCAAGATTCGAAGGCTACTTCTGATAGAACCAAAAACAATATCCAGATATCTCCTAAATTACAAAATTGTTTGTCAGCATCGAATTTAATGAGCAAGACTTCTCAATCCCCAAAGTTAAGTGAATGTGCATTCATCGATAAGAAATTTGCTAAAGAATGTCCCAGTAGGATCAATAATGAGAAGTTAGTCCAATTGCCAACTGAAATCAATAGTTTCTTAGAGATGGAAGAGAGAAAGAGGACCTTGAATAATTTTAAAGAACAACTATCGTAAAATATAATGAAGATTCAGCATTTGGATCAACTTTAAACTTAAGTGAAATTGATTGAATAATAGCTGCATTCTATCGTATAGACAATCATTCAATTGAAAGTAACCAATTATCTTGATCCTAGGATTCCTTATGCATGCAATTGTAATAGGAACAATTGAGTTATGCGTAAATCACTTAATCCATCTCTGACTCTTTGTATAAGATGAAGGATGATATAATCCATAATGAAATCAATATAATTGAATCGATGCAGATGAAACCATTTTAAAATATCATGACTATTTACAAAAAGAGATTGGATGAGCATCAGAGTTGTGTTTAATAAATGATTGCAAAGAGATAATTCGTGATTCAATTTAATTAATGGTGTTAACAATTGATGTTAAAGCTGTAAGTTGATTAAAAAGGGAATTTTGATTCGGAAGAGAAAGAGAATTGTTTTTCTGGGAGCAATAAAATAGCTGAGTCTCCCAAGTTTCGCAGCAATTGACTATATATTTATATTTAAATGCTTAATAAAAATATAGAGAGAATTTTAATGTTTATTAAAAATTTTATCATATGGAAATAAATAAATCATTTATTTAAAAAGAAATTATATGAGTAAATTCTTTTAGGAGGAATCCAATTCTGAAGGTGAAGATGAGGCTCCAAAAGGAGGACCTGAAGTAGATGCAGGATTATAATCATTAGCAACAAGAACCAGAATCATTTAAGGACTAATAGATTCAGATGATGATGAGGGACAGAGAGTGATTGTCACAGAAAAGGAGAAAAGATACACCAGATTGAGAGAAATCATTAAAGAAATTAAGATTAAAATTAAAAATTAAGATTTTGTTACATTATTGGATAAATTTGAAGAATTAAACAAAGAAGTCGAAAAGAGCACCAAAGTATTTGAAAAAGAGGGTGGATTACCCAGATTTTATATCAGAATAATGTGTTAAATCGAAGTGTTGGTTCTCTAATTTACAGCTGAATAAAAAAAGAAATTGGGAGTCAATAATAGCAAAGCATACAACACATTAAAACAAAGAATCAAGAAGTATAACTTGAGTATTCATTCATCCTATGCATCATTTAGCAATCAAGGATAAAATAGACGAATTCATCAACAATCCTGTTACAACTGATCAGAGTGAAGATGAGAGGAAGAAGAAAGTGAGGGCAGAAAAAAAGGCAGCTGGATCCGATTCTGAGCCAGAAGCACAATAGAAAGAAGAATCTTCAGACTCAGAGGATGATGATAAGTATTTGCTCTAATCCAACGATCCAATGGTCAGAAGAAGATATTGGTTGAAAAAGAAATTACCAGATAAGAAGGACCAAAAGAATGAAGAGATTTAACAAGAGAAAGTCAATAAGAAGGTTATTGCAGATATCATTGATTATGATGTCAAATTTGATATTGCCTAAAATAAAGAAATTCACATTGATTATGATGCTGAAGCAGTCAAGAAGAAGTTAGAGCAGATTGTCTCATCTAGAGGAGTCCAAAAGAATCAAGTGGAGAATCTTTACATTTGCGAAAAGTACATCTAGCACTTCATCAAAGAGAATCTCCAAAGAGCTGTGGAAGTAAGTCTTCATTTAATACTCATAGATATTGCTTATCACTATTTCTTTATAGATTGATCAAGCAAAATAAGAAGCCCCTTTCTATTTCAATAGACAATCATGGTTGTAAATCTATTAAAATACGTTCCTCTTATACTCACTTCATCAAGACAAGGGAGTCAAAGTTGAAAAGCTACACACTTACAGCAAATATGATTAAGAGAACTCCTTCTCTGAGTTCAGATTTATTAGCACTCTTTTAGTCAATTTCTAAACACTTGAAGTTGAATTAAATAAAGCCTTTTAAAACATAGACTATTACACATAGGAATATGCTGAAAGACTCAGTGATCTATATCAATTGACACATCTATCCCAAAAACTCCTGGAGTTACTCAAAATCAAGAACGACACAGCCAATATTGCTTTGATGAGTTTCAAACAATTAGAAGCCATTTACTACATTGGACCAGCTGTAATCTAAAAGTTGTTGGAATTGTAAACTAATAAGTAGGCTGCAACTCCACTATAAATCTTTGGAAATGGAGACATTTCATCCAAGATCTAATCTCTCGTTGAAAATATCCTCAAATATGGAGATAAGGAAACTATTGTCAAAGCAACTCTCTATTGGGTCTACAATTTAGCTTTGAATGGAAAATATGAATAAGCTCATGAAATATTCATATCAAATATATCATACGAATAAATATCATAAATGAAGACACTGATCCAATTATATTATAATAGAGCTCTAGTCTAATTGGGATTCGGAGCATTCAGATAAGGTTTGATCAATGAGACTCACCTTCACTTGGCTGATTTGTTGAGTAGAGACAAGGTTCTCAAGGATTTGCTCTCTTAGAATTATATGAAACAAGTGGAAGGAGAGTATAGATACACAGTTCCGTATCATATGTCAATTAATATTGAAACTATTGAGTTTGTTTACTTTTTGGCTGCTATGTTACTTGAAGTACCAAACATTAATTAAGATCCCTTTGAAGATTCACACAAAATCATTAGTCGAAAATTTAGATAACTCTGTTAATATTATGATTCATAAACTTTCAATCCATAACCTGAAAATATGAGAGACTTGATTTATGCTGCCTCCAAAGAATTAGCCAAAGGAAATTGGACTAAATGTTGGGATCTCTTGAAATAAATCCAACTTTGGGCAAGAATACCTTCGCATGAATAAGTCTAATAGCAAATTAAAGAAAGGGTTTAGGAGCAAGCTTTGAAGTGCTATTTATACACTTTTAAGAATGCCTTTTCTAATATTTCAGTAGATTACCTCAGAGAAAGATTTTAGTTGTCAGAATAAGTCACTAAAACAATCATATACAAGGTAATTTCTTATTATCAATATTATAGATGATTTATTATGGAGAGATCAAAGCCATTATTGATAATTAAGATTAATCATTCTTGATTTTTGTAAATGACGACATTTCAAATCAGACAAAGAGATTAGCAAGTGTTCTAATTGAAAAATTAAATTAACAATGTAAAAACAATGAAAAATTAATGGTAATCATCAATTTAAATTATTTAGGATTCGAAAATTGGAAGTTTTGGTATCGCTGTTGATAAGGAAAGTGTAGATTAGGTAAATAAGTAAAAGAAAAAAAATGTTACTAAAAACAAAAAACCTCCAAATATAACAAAAAGAAAATGATAATTATATTACATTAAATAATTTGAAGTATAGTATAGTATAGGATAAATGTTATTTAATAAATATTTGTGTATCATATACTTTAGAAGATATTCGGGGACGAAAATTTAGATTTCAACCTTAATAATTTATAATCTTGCATTAATTAAGAACTACTTTTACTGGGCAGAGGCATGAAACTCTTTAGGTTCACTTAGCTAGATCTCATTGTATCATATTGTTTTTTTGTTTCGTTTCTTTCTTAATCTGTATTCTCTTAATAAAATTCAGTCTTAAAAACCTTCAGATTTGTATTCGTCAATAAATCTGAACTATTTATAGACAATTGATTATTGTTCTTATTTTCCTTAATCATTTTAGAAACTTTATATTAATCTAATTCGATTAATTGAATGTCAGCATTGGCATATACATTCTTAGTGTAACCTCCAAAAATCAAGATTTTAGAATCGATTGAAACACTGCAGTGATTGAATTTACCATTTTTAAGGCCTCCAATCTATTAAACAAGCACCCAATTCATCTGCATCAATTACAACACATACAAATCATTGAGAATATTCTCTTCTTTTGAATCATTTCGACCTCCATAAAGAATTAGAGCATTTAAATGATAAAAGTAATTAAGACTATGAGAATAGCGAGCAATTGGGACTTACCCCTAAAATGATGGCAAACAAGTACTTTGGTTTTTAATTTAACGATCCTGATGGGTTTGAATCCAAATTAAATGACCCTCAAATCATTTGTGGCTTCCCCATTTTGAGTTTTCCCTCCAAATATATAGATGCCCTCTTAATTAACAGTAGGGCACTTTCCTTTCTTCTTATTGCATTCATAGCTGAAGTAAGGATTTTCCATTTTAACCTCTCCATTGAACAAAGCAGCAGAAGCAGCATCGGAAACCCCTTCGAGAAATTGGTTTTCTATGTGCAATACGGTCCTAGATTATAGTAAAATTCGATACCATTTATTATTTTCTAAATTAAGAGCACAAGCATCATTTAACACTAAGCCGTATGGGTTGAGTCCTCCGAAAATTATAAAGTATTTTCCAACACATTAAGCTATATGATTTCTCCTTCCTTCTATAATATCACCATTGGTTTTTAATTGAGTCCACGTTTTTTCTGCAGGATTGAACATTCTAACATCACTATAACATTCTCTTCTCTTCATAAGGTTATTAAACTTTTTTTCACCTCCATATATTATTATACTTTATTTATATAAAGTGGCCGTGTGTCC